TGTGTGTGTGTGTGTGTGTGTGTGTGTGTGTGTGTGTGTTTTGGTTAGACATCCTGTCTCGTTCTGGTCACTGCCTGGCCGCAAACTGAGAGAAGAGAGAGAAAAATAAAAACAAAGGGGGGAGAAAAAAGGAGGAGTTGCCATAGAAACGATCAGGTTCCCCCCCACAGTCCGTGTGGCACACCTGACGCAGTGCGTGGGTCCCTTCATCCACTCTCCCATCAGCCCCAGTGAAGCAAGAAAACAAACCAGTCCTTCCTGCTGGTCTGTTCAGATTAACCTGCAGCTCTTTATTCTCTTTTAATCCACACTGCAGCCAGATTTACAAATAAAACAGGAGTAAAAATGTCTCCTGATTGTCCTCCAGAAGACAACATGACGTCATTTATTACAACAAGTGAGGGAAAACAAAACAGTTTTAGCTGCTTGAGGCAAATCAGTTTAATTTATAAGTAGGGTTGGGCAATATTGGCAAAAAAATATCGATTAATTTGACGATTAATCTCCTTATGTCCTGGTCACATGACCAATTCTGTGGGAAAGATTTGCTTTTTGTAAAAATCGGTTCGAAATTATGTCAAAATCGCAGACTTGAGGGTATAAACAAAATTTCAAAGAAGTTTTGTTTAAATGTTTGTCATGTTTGAAGTGAAGCGGAGCGCTGACAGGACCGAGCGGACAAATATCCAGTCAGTCCGCCTGCTGGCATTAATCATTTTAATCAAGTGGCAAAAAATAATTCATGTTTTTCTGACCATTAATTGCACACGATACGATTATGCCCAACCCTATTTATGAGTCAGTTTTTCCTGTTCAAGATGTTCAGTGAACTGGGAAATAAAGCTTTTCTAACAAATTTGAAGGCTGTAAATAATCGTATCGTCAGAAAAACTTTAATCGATTTATTTTTTGGCTCTGGATGATTAATATGATTAACGCTCGCTGCTCCTCTCTGCTTCAGAACATTCAATAAAAGTTTTGTCATTTATTTATCTGTCAACACAATTTAAAATTAGACTGAAGTCTGTCATTTTGACACAGTTTGGAGCAGATTTTTACAAAGAGCAAATCTTTCCCACTAAATTAGTCGATATAAGGGACTCCAGAGGATTAATCATCAAATTAACAGTCATCGACTAAATACCACAATTAATCGTGTTTTTTTAGCCAATATTGCCCAACCCTACTGTAAAAGCAGAAACACAGTTGTGGATTTTTATAGCTTATAAAGAAAGCTAAAGTTTTCATTTTTAACAACGTAAAAAAAGAATCGGAGGAACCTGCTTCTGCTTAAAAACCCATTTTATTAAATTAAGACATAATTTACTGCAAATCACAAACTGATCCGACTTTTTATTCTTTGTTCGGCTCTGAGTCGTTTTCTCCTGAAAGACGGTGAATCGGTTTCCTTCTGTGGAACTAAAATGAGCCTAAAGTTAACATTTTCACATTTCAAATGAGCCGTGTCTGTTTTATTACACCTTATCACCAACATGGATCCAAACATACATTTTGTGACTCGTCACGTCAAACTGAGCTCAGCACATTTAAGCTACGTTTTTATCCCTGGATCATCCTGAGCAGGTCCAGAGTTACGGCTTGATTTGTCTTATTAATAATTAAAATTTAGTCTGAATCCTATTTTTAGGTTATTCTAATGAGGTTATTCTAATGAGGTTATTCTAATGAAGTTATTCTAATGATGCCATTTTAAAGAGGAAACCTCAGATATTATTTGGATGTGAAGAGCTGGAAACAAAAGCTTTGCAGTGGGAGAATATAAAAAAAACAAGACATTTTTTGCTCAAAATCAGGTTTTTGTTGCTTCCACTAAAAATTAAAGAGTTTAAAAAATGGTTTAAGATCATATTTCAGGCATGTTCATTCAAATGATCCATTTATGGTTTTATTCGTTCGATTTTGACAAAATCCTTGGTTTGATGTGATGAAACATTGATGATTGTTGAGTTTTTTTTTCTTCAAACACAAAACACAATGCAGCAAACTAAACAGTACATGTTCAAGTTATCTGTGTGTTTAAAGACTTTATGATTCTTTAGAAATATTCAGTTGGAATAATGGTGATTTTTTTTTTTTTAAACATAAAACCTGGAGCAGAAAGAACAGATCAGATTGTGTTTGTGCACAAATGTGTGCTGGAACAGTTCAAATAACACAAAGTACAGTAATAATAAAGTACAGTAATAATAAAGTACAGTAATAATAAACCTCACAGGGATAAAATGGGTGATTTAAAATAAGGACGAGAGCAGATCAGAAGCTCCAAATTAAAGATAAAATAAAAAAGTGGAAAACAAAGTGCTGACCTGATCTGACCCCTGATCATGTCACTAAAAGTTTCAGTAAATCACTGCAAACCTAACGTTTCTTTTTGGATCCATTTGTTTCTTTAAACGATGCAGATTCGTCACGTTTTACCCGGATGTTAGAGCCGTGAAGAGCTTCTGTTCTTTGGACTGGACTCTTTCTTGTCTTTGAAATGTGTTTTTTTAGGATGAAAAACAAAGGATGTGTTTCTAGATTATTTTTTTTAGCTCGTATTTTAATGAAGAAAAATAAGTTGTCAATGTGCTTTTCAAATTAAAAGTTGGAAACTTTTTTAATTTGTAGCCCGTTATTAACCAGCAMCTGTTTGTTGAATGTTACCATTTTAAAGAGACTGTTTGCTGTTTGAACATAATCCTGCTTTATATTTTAACACCTAAATGTGATTTAAGACCATAAACTAATTAAAATAGGATGAATTTTCTAATTGAAATYATGAATGAAAACTGGCTGAAATCCTGGTCTTTTCCAGTCAGGATTGTGATTCGGACCCTGTCGCCATGCATCGGACCACCAGGATAAAGATCACGGAGCTCAACCCCCACCTCATCTGCGTCCTGTGTGGAGGATACTTCATCGACGCCACCACCATCATCGAGTGCCTCCACTCCTGTGAGCCTTTCTTTTTTTCATTTTTAGCTTCCCAGTCTGAACAGCTTCACTGAAACAAACTGGACTCTGACCAGGAGCTCTTTGTTTTTTTATTTTTTATTTAAAATGTTTTTTTCATGTTTCAGTTTGTAAAATGTGCATCGTTCGCTACCTGGAGACGAGCAAATACTGTCCCATCTGTGACGTCCAGGTGCACAAAACCAAGCCTCTGCTCAACATCAGGTGAGCCRTTTTTTTTTTTTTACACATTTCAGTTAATTTATAGTTTTATTGTAACTTGTTATGAAGCTTTTTAAATTAAATAAATAAGTTATTTTTTCACTACATGCTCACTGTTTCACTCATCCAGCTGATTTCTGGAGCTGTTTTTTCTTTTCAGTCTTGTTTTTTGATGATTTGACAAAAACCCTCTGTGCTTCGCAGGTCGGACAAAACTTTACAAGACATCGTGTACAAACTGGTCCCAGGCCTCTTCAAAAGTAACAACTTTCATTTTTAAATTGTTTTTTTTTTTTAATAACCTCGTTTTGAGCCACTCACATATCAGTTTGGTCCGTTTAATCAAAAGCATCTCGCAGAGTTGTAAAGTAACTTAATAGGGTTGGGCAATATTGGCAATAAAATTAATCATGATTAATTGTGGTTTTTAGCTGTTAARGATTAATTTGATGATCAATCCCCTGGAGTCCCTGGACACCTTTATGTCCTGGTCACATGACCAATTTAGAAAGATTTGAGCTGCATAAAAACCTGTTCTAAATTGTGTCAAAATCACAGACTTTAGGCTATAAATCAAAATTTAAATTGTGTTGATGGATAAATAAATTACAGATTTTTTTTAAATGTTCATCATTGAAGCAGAGAGGAGCAGCAAGCGGACTCTGCCTGGTGGCGTTAATCGTTTTAATCAAGTGCCAAAAAGTGATTAATGCTTTTCTGACCATTAATCTCACACCATACGATTCATGCACAACCCTACTAACWAAGTACAATACYTAAWTGTTACCGTACTTAAGTAGAAATTCTGGTTATCTGTACTTTGAGTAATTATTTTTCAGCGTATACTTTTTACTTTTACTCATTACATTTTTTTTACACAATTATCTGTACTTTCTACTCACTACATTTTTTAAAAAGGTAAAAAAGTAGAAAGTCGTTACTCCTATTTTATTCGGTGTTATTACTTAAAAAATACTATCCTGATAAACTGTGTCTCCTGGATAGAGTGAATTTAATTTTGATTGCATGAGAAGTATAAATATATACAATTCTGATACCATATTACTTTGTACACAACCCATCAGCTGCACACATAAGAAAAAATATATTTTGGAGAAGTCACCTCTCAGTAAATCTTAACCGCTCACTTTTACTCAATACTTTTACTTTGAATACTTAAGTAAATTTTGTGTCAGAAATTAACTCTTGATAGTTAAGTACAAAAAAAAATCAGATACTTTAAGTCTTATAGAAGACTTTAAATTTTACCAAAGTATTTTTATGATAAGATGCTTGTGCTTTTACTCATTTATCACTGGCATCTTGTTTTCTGCACATTTATGGCTCGTATTAAAGAGAAGTCAGTTTCTGGTGTAAAACCTCGTCTTTCTCGTCCTCAGATGAGATGAAGAGGAGGAGAGACTTTTACGCCGAGCATCCTGTAGACGGTGAGTCAGAAAAGTTAACGAGCGTTCTTCATCTCCTGGTCCTCTGAAAAGGATCAATAATGGTTTTTTTTATTTATTTTTTGACAAAAAAAAAAGCCTCCAACGGTTCGCACGAGGATCGCGGGGAGGTGGCGGACGAAGACAAGAGGATCATCACGGACGACGAGATCATCAGCCTCTCCATCGAGTTCTTTGATCAGAGCAGGTGAGCTGATCCCGTTTTATTCTTGGTAAAATGAAACCTCTTTAAATTAAAGAGCTTTGAGCAGGTAACGTGCAATTTATTTGCAAAAATATTCTCCGTGAAACAAACTGGAAACCTACGTTTAATCAACAGCCTGCATGAAATCATAAAAAATYTTATTTTCATTTATTTTACTTCTGCTTTTATGTAACAAAAAAAAAATAAATAAATAAAAAAGTGAAACTTAAAAAACTGCCTTTTTTTAACCGGAATCATAAAAACCTGCTTGTTAATAAATGATTCTGAGCTTTAAGGTTTTGACAAAAAAAAAAGAGGTAAATTTGACCAAGAAAATAATAATTATTATTGAATGTTTTCTGTTTGTTCGATGCAGATTGGGTGGAGTGGAAGACAAGCCGTCTAAAGATCAGGTAACACTCAGTGATTTCTACTTTTTTCCGTTAAAAACTTCAAAAAATAAAAACTTGCAACATTTTTCCCCCATTAAGATAAAATCTGCCCACATTTTCCGCATCTTTTTTTAGTTTTCATTTTTCTTCTTATGGTGGACCAACAAGACTCTAGATAAATATACTCTTAATTTTTCTTTTTTAAAAAGATGCATATTCAGTATTTTAAAACCTTTTACGTGGATTATTTGCAGGTGGCTAACAAGAGGTACCTTCAGTGTCCGGCAGCCATGACGGTCATGCATCTGAGAAAGTTTCTACGCAGCAAAATGGACATCCCGAACACTTACCAGGTCATTTTATTTCAGCTTTTATAGTGTTTTTATTTGAAGAAAGCTGCAATGTTTTATTCCATTTGAATTAAAAACACATTTATATTATTATTAACCCTTTTTTCCCCTTTTCAGGTTGAAGTCATGTATGAAGACGAGCCTCTTAAAGATTACTACACATTAATGGATATAGCGTATATCTACACCTGGAGAAGGGTAGGGCGGCTTAAATATTCTGTAAATTTCTTTTTTGATAACATAAATGGTTTCATTGTTATTCTTAATTATACTCTAGAGTGTGTAATTATCATAAAATATAAAAAAACACAGATATTGCCTCTTTACCGGTAAAATTAAAACAATTTAAAGCCTTAAAATTAAGATCTTGAATTAGTTTTGAGTTAAATCTTGTGACTGGTTCCAGTTTAAAGCATTTTTAAAAAAAAAAGATTTTCAAATGTAAATGTAGAGCAACTACATCACGAGTCAAATTTAAGAATAAGGAGTCAAAGCTTATTATTTGATAGGTGGGTAAGCAAATGACTCATTTACCCACACAAGATGTCGAAAATGTATTTACTCAAAACACCTATGGTCTGAATAAGCTTTAAATAAATGTTTATTTTAAATGATGTGTACATATTGAAAATCCTTCACAAAATAAACAGGGTTCCTGCAGATCCTTTAAAAAGTCTTAAAAGGCATTAAATTCATAAAAAGGCCTTAATTAGCCTTAAAATGTCTTAATCTTTCAGAAGTCAAAATAGGATGGTTGTAATTCATCTCAAATGTTAAAATAATTGGTAAAAATTATTTTTTAATATTCACATGCAGACATTGACATCACTTCCTGTTATTTCACATTCAAATCTGAGCAACGTGAAATTTGTTTTGTTTTATGTTAATGTTGTCTTTCCAAAAATGCATTCGCTTTTCTTACAAAACCTTAATGTCACAGACACTTTAAGGTTTCTTCTACAGCAAAGTGTGGTTAAAACCTCACTTTGGCTCTTAAAACTCCAAATTTTGGGTCGTTGGAGGATTTCCTGAAATTAAATTAAACTGACTGCTAAGAATGTTTCTGCTATATTTAGATATGGATAAAAACAATTGGTTTATTTGCAATATTTGAATACTTCAACCAAAAATACTTCGATTCATGAGTTTCTGCCAGTTTTTTTTTTTTGTCATTTGTGTTTATTATGAAATTGGTCTTAAATTTAATTTCACTTGGCATTAAAAAGTCTTAAAATTAACTTGCTTTAAACTGTAGGAAACCTGATTTAAACACAATGGCAAAAACAAAAATAGGCTGAAGCCAAAATGTTGAGCAGAAAAAAACAGCAAAACATAAATTTAACCTTAATTTGAGCATTGAATTAATTTATATTATAATATGGGTAGCCTATAAATGCTAATGTTAGCTAATGCTAATGGGTTTTATTATTGGAGCGTTTTTTTATGTTTTCATGTTAAAATGTCTCTGCTCATGTTGGTTTCTGTCGTGTCTTCCTCCACAGAACGGCCCGTTACCGCTGAAGTACCGGGTCCGACCCAACTGCAAGAAGATGAAGGTGACGCACGCGCAGCAGGAGGGCCAGAACAGCACGAGCCGATGCGGCCCCGAGAGCGACTCGGCCAGCGACAAGGCGGGGAGTCCCGCCGGGGCCCCGTCCACCTCCTCCTCTCTGCCGAGCCCCGGGACGCCGGCCCGGTCCCCGCACCCCCAGCCGCCCCACGGGCCCGGCAACGTGAACGGGACGGCGGCGGCGGCGGCGGCGGCGGCCACAGCTTCAACCCCTAACCGGCCCTTTAGTCAGTTCGTCGGCGGCGGCGGAGGTAAACCGCCCCGGAAGGTCTCTCTGAACGGCTCGTCGACGTCCTCGGGATGACGCCGAGCAGCTCCCGCTCAGCCGTAACGCTGTTTTCATGCCAACGTAGTCCCATTGTGTAGTCCTCTTCCCTTTCTCTCCATTTGTTGTTATTAATATCATGACGTTATTTGTACGTTTGAACGTAGCGGAAACAGAGACCTTTCACAATAAAAGGAACCCGGAAGTGGCGGAGTTTCGATTTTGAAAGGAGCCGTCGGTGAAGACAAAAGAAGCATTTATCCTTTTTTTTTCCTTTAAAGCTACATCTTTATTTTAAAGAAGTGACTGAGGTGATTTTATTTTCCGATGCAAAGTGTGTTACTCATGATGACGTCATGTGTTTTGGGATATTTTTTTAAAGCACAGTTAAAAACATGCATGCTAACTGGGAGACTCGTGTGTTCTGGGGATAAAAAAAAAAACCTCTTTTTGACAAAACGTTTCCGTGTTCAACCCATCAGGAGTTTGTTTAGCGCTGTTAAAATCCTCTGAGGTGAAATAAAAAAAAGCCTTTTACTGAATGAAAAGATGTAGCTGCAGTTGAACCGGATTTTTCATCCTCTGCYTGTAAATAAAAACAAAATGCATATTTAATCAGACATGTTTTTTTTTCTTCTTTCTTTCCAAGGGAAGGACTTGAGCTTCGTTTCAGAACAGATGTATTGATGTCTCTGTTTTCTGTCTTTGTATCGCTCGATTGTATGAACAACTTTCTGTATTGTTACTGTTGCACAGTATAAAACATCTAAATAAAACATTTTACACTTATGGAGAAAACTGCTTTGTTTTTGCTGCTTTTTAAGAAGCATTATCTGGTGTTTTTGCATGAACTAAACCCGAACAAAACACTTTAAAGTTGGCAGACGGTGCAAAGCGTTAGACGTCAACAAAATATTTAAATTAATTTCACTATTATAAGTAATTTTATAAGATTCCACCCCCAGATTATTTGTTTGGCATGACTTCTACTACCATGTCAAATTAAAGCTCAGTAAATAACTGATTGAATTAGCTACATCAGTTTTTGTGTTTTTTGAGATCCCTTAGCTGTGGAGGCCATTTTAAATTAGATTAGCTCTGAAAGTTAATCAGCTGTAAAGAAACAAACAGGGGTTATTTTCCCGAAGGTTTCATTAAAAACCGTCCATGCATTCATGAGATATTCTGCAAACAGACAAACAAACACAACTCATTAATGGCAACATTTTAAACAAAGATCCATTTTAATGTGAGAGCGCTCAGATTATGTGTTAGAGATCAGTCTCAGTCTATACCAAAATAAAATTTAATTTAAAATCTGCAGAACTGACCGACTTTTAGACATGTTTGTGTTTTTTAAGTTTGCCTGTCTGTGGAAGTCCCGTTGAGTCGGGTTGACTCCGAACGTTGATCAGTTGTTGATGTAAATCCTGTAATTCATCCCTGCGATTTTAATTTAAATCCGTCCAGTGGTTCATGAGKTATTTTGCTAACAGACACGTCCTCCCCGCGCCTTTCAGCGGCGGGCGAGGAAAAGAGCGCAACGAGGTTAATGAGGCGCGTTATTAAAACATAGTAAAAAATAAATACAAACATCTGCTTTAACACCAAATAAAACTTTCTTTACTCATGAAGCTTTTTCACTGGGAAGCAGAAATTACACACACACACACACACACAAAAAAATGAAAATCCCACCTTGTGTTTATTAATAAATTCCTTATTTAAACTGGACCAACAGACCATGTTGTGCTTCATGGATTTATTATGGCTGTGTCACTTTTCTGTCCAAAAAGGTTAAAAAGTAAAAACAAAACAAAACAAAAAAAACAGATTCATGTGAATTAATTAATCACACAGATGATCAGGAGTTTATCGTTTTAAAGAAAAATAAAACAGGTTTGAACATGAAGTCAGGATTGAGAAACAACTAAATAGTTTTTTTTAACTAAAATATTAGTTCACTGGTTATTTATTTAACAAAAAAGACTTGTGATRAGAGTCACAATAAAAACCTTTAAGATCATTTAATAAAAGAAATCAGAACTTTCTAATTTAGGGGTTTTAGTTTATCTGAGCCGGAATAACTCATTTGTTTTTGTCATTTTTTGTATAAACACACAATATATTATA